AGTGTATGTTGTATATATATTATATATATTTCATTTTTTGCTTATTACAGCCTTTAGATCGTATACCTATTTACCCAAAGATTTTATTTTTAGTCTATAGGTATTAAGATCATGATTTTAAGATATGCTAAACAAGATCTCAAGCTTTCTTGAATCTTTGAACTTCTTAATTGTTTGATTTTAGCATTTAAAATCTACGTACAGTACAAGAATAATAGAATATTTATATTGGCTTTTAAAATCTTTTGCATTGTGAAGTTTAATGTTTTTATGCTATTTTCAAACTTTTACTAATTATTATGTACTTTTTTTTAGTAAAACATTATGATTTTAAATATTACGTTTATGAAAAAGTTACCCAGTTCTTTTATAACCCATTTTATAATTCATAATAGTGATCTTTGTAAGTTATATAAAGTTATAAAAAATTTTTTATTGTAGTTATACAAAATATAAATAAAAAGATCTATATTAAATTAAGATTACAAAAATATAAAAAGTTATGTAATACTAATTATATCATTATTTTTTTTTAAAAACAGTATTTGTGAAATGGTTTCTGGATTAAGATGAGTCTGTTTAGGAGTTACTTGGTTCTTCGTATCAAAAAATAGTCATTCACTTTGCACTGAAGTAGCTGGTATAGATAAATATTTTTTTGCCAATTTGCTCAAATTTGGAAAGTCTTTTTCTCATTCTTTTCATAGTCTAAGGGTAATTTGGTTTTTGAAGCAATAGGCATATCTAAATATTTATCTAATTCATCAGTAGATGAATTATCATCATTATTATCCTTATCATCAAATATTGAAGTGAAGTAATGATTAGTTGAAGTTACGTAGAAATATGTTGATTGTGTGGGTGATTTGTCAATAATATTGTTATATTTTTCATGGCATATTCTAATTGTTTCTTTCCATAGTTCTTCAGACCAAGGCATATTTTCTTGAGCTTTGAATCTAGTAAAATTGCTATAAGGCCAGTGAACATTGGATTCCCCAATATTTCCAAAGTGAATTGTAAATTGCTCACTTAATTTGAGCAATTGTTGATTAAACATCAAGGGTATCTTGAGTATAATCCTCTTCATCCTTGCTATCACTGTCTATATTTGATTCTGAAGATAAGAACTAATATTTTATATTTTATGAATACAAAAAATTACACAATTTTATTTTATTTTTTTTCATTATTTTTTTGCATTTATTTATTTATTTACTTATTATTTATTTATTATTATTATTTTTACAAAAAAAAAGTACATACCATATTCATTATTTAGATCATAATCATTATCAACTAAGGGCAGATTTGGATCTACCGCAAATTTGAATTTTAAGAGTTCAATGATACGATATATGACTG